CAGCCTTGTGTGCGTCGAGAACGCGTGTCCGGGCCGCGAGGCCATGCTTTGGTTCTGTTGGCATGATGCCAGAAGAAGAGGTTTTGATGCCGACCACCAGTTAGCTCTGCACTAAATCGCCATTGCTCTAAAGTCAATTTTTGAAAAAAAAAATGAAAAATTTCTTTGTCACTTAAGTTACTTCACACCGCTTTGCTTTACACTGTTGCCGATTTGGACTGGCAAAGGTGTAAAACAGATTCACTTCCAATAATCTGAGCGAGCATGGCCTCTAATGACAATGGGAAGATGCCGGTATTCTTAAACGACTTTGTTATAGTGTCGAAAGTCACAGACCCTTTGAGCTCCTCGTTTTGCAATATTTTGATGCTTCCTCGCAAGCCTCTTGAACTAATCTTGCCAGATCTTGCTTAGTAGCGTGCGGTCGGCCGAATAGATTCGGGAAATACGATATTAGTTTTTCGTAGTTTTTCTTCAGTGATGAAAATACGACATCGTCAAGAGGCTGTTTAAAATGACTAGTGTGAGCCGGGAGCACAAATATGTCAATTTTGTGTGATCTCGCGTAGTTCAAAACTGGCCCGCTTACATTGGAGAAATGCCATTCGAGAATGAGAAGAACTGGACGCGGCACATTTTTAGCAGACATTTGAGTGTCAAAATATTGCAACCAATGTAGAAAGAGTAACCCGTTTATATTCCATGACTCGGTCACGGAACACGTCGAGCCATCTAAGGAGCAAAGCATCCACTCCGGTTGGCGTCGCTTTCCCGGGAAAATGCGCATTGGCGGGATCTGATCTCCGGATGCACTCACACTCATCATCAGTGACATGTTGTCGCGGTCGCTACACCTCAATATATTTGCTCGCATTCCCTTAAAACAAATAACGCGAGGCACCTTGCGTCCTTGGCGGTAAAACTTCATATCATCGCAATTCCACATCTGTTCAGCAGTTAGCCACCGCATTGTCACCTGAAGGTTGCTGTGGAAAGATACCGCTTTTTATATCAAAGATCGGAGCCCGTTTCCTGATCAACCTATCTTTGTGGCGCTTGACAAACTTCAAAGGCCATTCAGCGTTGGAAAACGTCGGTGACAGCGACTGTATCGCGCGCTTTGCGATTTCGTGGGCTAGAAGACGAAGCTCGGTATCGGTCATGCATATCCCACGTTTTGAACAAAAGAAAATGACCTCGACTATCCCTTCTTCATCTTCTCGGGATAGGAGGGGTGCACGTCCTGGTTTGGAATCAAATCGGACTTTTCCCGTCACTCGGCGATGAAACACACTTCTTGAAATGTTATAGCTGGCCGGAGCGTTTGTTTGAGAGCTTCCTTCCTCTCTGATAAGACGAATAGCACCCGCGAAGCTCTGCTGCAGTGACGTGGACTCCATAGCAGTGAAACTTGACTTGATTGGCTGCTCAAGAGGGATTATGCGAGTTTGAGAATGATTGAGGTTTAGATGGCCGTCCCTGGTCTAATTTGCTTTTGTTTGGAATGTCGTAAAAGGAAGAAAAAGCGCAACTCTTTCCTTTACCGTTCGGATAAGAAAATATTTACCGAAAACGTATTTGAACGACTACAGCCGGTGTCTCATAATAGAGCTCCGTTTCGATTTGAGTCCGTTGGGGATACTATTAATACTCGTAGCACTACCAGGATCAATTAATGGTGATATGAAGTGAAACTGACCTTTTTTTAAAAGCTGTATTTTGAGAAGCGTCTTGCTGTTTTTTAGTACGTAGGTTTTCACATTGCTTTTTTCTGCGAGATATTATTGTCGATAGAAATGTCAAGGTTTCAATTCCGCCCTCTCATCTCATTGTAGCTTAGTAGTTCTGGGATTAGCAGGCTCCAGGTTTTACGTGGTCAGCATACCGACTCTTAGTTTGCAGGGTCAGTGTCAGTGATTGGGAAAAATAAATTGGTCTACCCACCAAAACATTATTGCAAGAAAAATGACTAACTGCGGCATCCCCGAAATAAAAATACTCAATTGCACAGCGACCCGGAATTGCAATACTCAATTGCATGGCTAACGAAAATGCAATACCAAATTGCAACACTACCTACAATTTCAAACTGTATACATTTTTACACTTTGCTGAGTCCACAGGCACGTTGTGAACGCTCTTGATTGTTTTGTCCACAAGTCTAGAATCCCAATAAGCGCGGTTAGTCTTTAAAAACATGATGACTTCGAACATGACGGGGGTCATTCGGTTTCTACGCTCTGTCATCACGTATTTTGCCGAACTAAAAAAGCGCTCCACCGATGCTGACGTTCCACGCATGAATCGAAGATCTTGGTACGCGACGACTTGATGCAACTTCCGCCGCTTGCGATCTTCTAGTTGTTGATAGTAACTTATACTATCTCCCAATTCAATGTGTCTCGGTTCATGCTCTCCTCGGATTTCGAATTGTTTGACAATTCCCCTTTAACGGCTTGACAAGTCCCCTATCTTGCTGTTTTGAACTTTGGTCACCGCTGCCTCGAACACGGGCTTGTGAACAATAGACGCATCTTGGGCTAAGTAGTGGCTTAGTTCTGG